ATTTTTTTTTTTTTTTTTTTTTTTTATCAGACTGAAGGCGAAATATCGACCAAAATAAAAATAAAAAGTAAATAAAACAGAAAAACATTTAATGTTTTATTTAACATACGGCCTATAGCTCAAAAATAATTATTAAATTATACTCAACGGCCAATAAGCAACACAATCTTAAATATTTTTTTAACTTAATTTTGAAAAAGCAATCGGTAATTGCAAATCCCTTAATTTTAATATGGGCGTATTTGAATTTAATATTTCTATACTAAATACTAAAATTTGTATACTTAAATGTATTACGAGTTGGGTTGGTGCTCTTTCATATGCGTGTTTTTTTAATTTAGCAAGCTTTTTTAATTCTAAGCTTCTTTCTCTCAGTGCACCGGTTTAATTTGTGAAATAGCCACATTTCGAGATAGTTGAACTTTGCACAAGCAATAGTTGATGATTAGTATATCGATGGCTGAGTGGAAGATCGACCTATATCGGCAGCCAGTTCGAAAAGGCCTTATCTCAGAAAATTTTCAACAACGCTTTATCTCAGAAAACTTTTCAAGAACGCCCTACATCAGAATTTGATTGAAAAACGTCCTAGCTCAGTATTTGGTTGAAGAACGCCCTATCTTAGATGCCGATTCAAAAACGCTCTATCTCAGCTTATTTTCAATGTATCTTCCTTTGAGATAGGGCGTTTTTGAACCGAATTCTGAGATAGGGCGTTATTCAACCAAATTCTGAGGTAGGGTGTTTTCCAATAATATTATGAATTAGGGCGTTTTTCAATCAAATTCTGAAGTAGGGCGTTCTTGAAAAGTTTTCTGAGATAGGGCGTTTTCGAACTGGCTGCCGAGATAGGTCGATCTTCCACTCAGCCATCGATATGTACCTAAATACGTTCAAAATGACGTGCACAGAGTTTTACAATTATATTAAGGAAAAGACAGAAGTTTTGAAACAAGTTCACAGCAACGAAAAATATGACTGATATTTTAATGTTATATTGTACTTATATTTTTTTATTGGCTCGGAGGCTCTTTAATCAGATCACAATTTCTAATCAGATCTTTTAGAAAAATTTTGAAAATGTAGCTTTTGAGCCAATTAATAAAGTGCAAGTCTGAAGTTGCCAGCAAATTTCGTTGATTTTTAGCATTTTTTTTTTTGCTGACAGTGTCTTCCATATAAAAAGAATTATCAAACATAGTTTGTATGGAAGAAACTCTCAGTAAAAAAAATACCAAAAATCAACTAAAATTTAATGGGCTGCAAAACTTCATTTTAAACATTTGTATAAAAAAATGTTGCAAATTTGTATGCAAATTTATTGAATTTTCCCGAGTTTAGCACAAAGTTTAACAATTTTGTTATTATGTTTTTTCATATATTTAGTATAAACTGTATTTTTATAAAGAATAAAAAAGGTT